ATGTACTTTTAAAATGATTTAAATAAATTAATTTTTACCAATTAACATATTTATCAAAGAATATAATCAAGTTTGGTGATGAAAGACTTAGTGGTGAAAGTGGATCAATTCCCTCATACAATGTAACTATTTCTGATTCATAATAAATTTCAAGGTTAACATCAACAGTTAGGTACTGCTATATCAAACTAACATATCTCGAATGGGACAGAACACATTTCCTCGATTCTATTACTATCCACTATCCAAGTGTACTTCGAAAATGCATGTGATTTAATGGCAGTATCAAGGCAATCAACATGGGATGAAAATTTGCCGAAAGCATTTATTTAATTGCGATCCGAAACATCAATGGGCAAATTCAAAAAACCAGTACAAATGAATTCGGTTTAATTTAAACTAATATATAATATTATTCATACTTAAATGTGATACCCTATTAGTTTATAAAAAAAAATCGTAACTTTGTCGATTATCAAACTTCTTCAATCAAATACACTTTACTGTACGTCCCATGACTGTTGATAATCACATAATTCCATCAAATCAGGCAGAAAAACTATACGATCTATTTACATGCATAAATTTAATGAGGAAGTCAATGTATTTAATTAACCTCAACTTCAATGATAACAAACGATAAAACTGTTCTAATGAGCATAATATTACGTGTTATTCCATTAAATTAAATAATTCCAACTAAATTCAATTCTCCCACAAAATTTGTCTAAAAAATATAAACTTTCTTCAACTCGAGCAATGTTTCCTCGTCAATCGTAAACCACAGTTACTTTTCGTTTGAAAAAATTCTCTACCGAACTAGTTCAAAGAAATAATCATTAAAGATATCACTCAAAAAAAATAATACACAAGAAATTAGAGTCTAACTACATAAACAAGGCATTGATCAAAAGATCCGAAAATCATAAAATTCATTGAATAAATCTTATTTCATCAACTTCATTGTTATCATTATCATCATAGAGGATTTGTGGATATTATTAAGTGTTATAGTTTATACCACCAACTGGTTACAGTCATACAATCAGCGGGAACCGGGAGACTCTGGACATCTGTCTCCCTCTAGTATGCGATTCTTTAGCAGTTCGCATACACCACTACATCGACAATCAAATGCAAGGTCACCAGGTTTCACAGCGGACCCTTATCTATGATACCAATCAGTCGAAATCCTTCCGTTTATAAGTCCTAATTTTATTATAATAATAGTAACACTGACAAAGTTGATATTATGCTCGATGCAGTCCCTGTTTCTTTGACAATTACTTCTCACAAACAGTCATTAGACATTGTCTTTATTTTTTGTGTTACAAATGGAATATATATACGAACAGTTTGCACATAGATTTATATATTAATGACTGTATAAATGTGGTCATCTGCAAAATATAATTCTCTTTCTAACATACCTCTATCTTATCACTGTGACTATTACTGATATCATATAACACAGTGTATAAATTGTATTGAGTGATGAACAAGTCTGTTGTGATACGTCATTGATATAATCAGAATTTTAATAAATATTTATACATTCAAATATTAGTGAATTTCTGTATAAATAAATTATCCATACTACTCTCATACTCTATTCGAGGTTAGTTTAACAGAAGTGAATGTCCTGACAAACATTCAATAACAATAAAATCTTTCAACCTATGAAAACTAAATACAAAGTTGTCAATATCGTATGCTCAAATATGCAAAAGTACACTAAATCTCAGGTTATCTATCCATTGCTACTATTTTAAAATGTATTTAAACTGTTAGTCAGTCGAATAAGAAATCCACTCGACGTTCATGTACTAAAAGACAGTGTATTCTATTGTATTGTAAACTATTTGTAGTAATGCGAATTGATGAGATGGATTCAAAATGATCACGAACTTATCACGACAACCACAATATGCACTACTTACAAACATCTTGGTGGATATGTGTGTCATCTACCTAGGTTTTCGATAGGAGAATTGTATGATTTGAGGTGTGAAGTAAAAATAAAGAGTTGAATATCGGGGTATGGACTGTTGACGAAGTGTGAAAAGATTGAACTGTTATTCATGGAGCCTACCATCATCTTAATCGTCATCATAAATATAAGTTAAAATATTGCTTTGTTCTTTAATTATGCATAAGTTTTCCAAATGTAAACATTTAAATTCTATGATGTAGGTAAATCACTTTTCTCTTCTGTTGAATAATTGCAAAAATCACTAAAAATTGAATATAAAAAGTTTGTTTATACTTTTTTTTCTACTAATCAATTACAATTCTACAATAACTTTAACTAGTTAAACGTGATGAATAAAATTTCGCTTAATTTCGAAAGAATATTGTTTTTTGTAGTCAACATAACCTACTACTGGTAACTGGAAAATCAAAGAATGCCATGGTTGGCTTTTCAGTTCGTCTTTAGGACTCCACAGCAGGATGCAACCATGAATCCATCAGTGATTGAATCCAAAGCCTTCAGGTTCTATGCCAAATGACTAATTGTAATAGGCGACGATAGTTTTTGCTCAGTTAATTTCTAAAATCAGTGTAAAAATACATAAAAGATAATGAGTTTTTCTTCACTAAAACCTGAGCAAACGTTAAGTCTATTCAGCTTCACAACCGATATTCATGTTATGTACCAGATGAAAGTGTATATATATTCGACAGTGTTCGTGATCTCATTTACGATTATTTCAAGACCGAAATATTAGGTTTGAATATGTTTTTTTTTAACTTTTTAAAATGTTTCGAATTGAAAACTTTTTTTATCTGTTGGCATATATGAATTGAAATTGTATAGATTATGTTCAACTGATTGAATTATTTGAAATCCGAAGTCATCATACATATAACAACTTTAACTAATGATACTATGAAAATGTTGAAATGATTATGGTTCACGAAAAACAATACAGCTGATGAATATATTTTATCAATGAAATTATGTAATTAATTTTTTTTAAACCTCATAATTCTTTATTACTCACTTACACCTGTTCTCCTTAAAGGCCACAATCGAGCATTATCCAACATACTCTGTCCTCCGCCTTCCTTTCCAGTTCTACTCAGTTGCTATTCATCCTTTTCACATCTGTTTCCAATTCTTAAATGAATGTGTTCTTTTGTCTTTCTTTTCTCCTTTGGCATTGAGGATTCCAGGTTAGGACTTGCCTCATTAATCAGGTAAGTGATTCCCACAATATGTATCCTATCAACCTCCATCAATATTTCCTAATTTCTTGCTAAGATGGAGGAATCTGCTTCGTTCTCTCCCACGGTAGGTTGTTATTAATGATATGTGACCAATGGATCAGCAATATCCTACATAGATAACTGTTAATAAACTCTTGTGAATGATGATTTTCGTGGTTCTCCAAGTTTTTGCCCCGTATAATAAGACGGTCCTAAAGTTCGATTGAAAGTTATGACTTTGATGCTGGTTAATAGTTGTTTCGAGTTCCAGATGTTCTTCATTTGTTGAAATTTTGTCCATGCTTTGTCGATCCGCGCCTTCACATCTGCATCAGATCCACCGTGCTCATCAGTGATGCTTCACACATATGTGAAGGTATCCACATCTTGCAAATCTGCACCATCAAGTGTGATTTGGTTGGTGCATGTTGTGTTGTAATGGAAAATCTTGTCTTTCCCTTTGTGTACGTTGAGACCATTGCTGCTGAGGCTGCTGTCACACTGACTGTCTTCGTCTTTATTTCTTATTGCATGCGAGATAGAAGAGCCATATCATCTGTGAAATCCAGATCGTCCAGCTGCATCTGAGCTGTCCTTTGTATCGAGTGCTTCCTCCCAGATCTTGACATCTTCATAATTCAGTCGAACACTAGAAGAAAAAGAAGTTGTGAGAGTGAGCAACCTCGTCTGACACCGGTCCTCACTTGAAATGATTCTGCGAGCCATCCTCCACGTACAATTTTGCAATGTAGTCCATCCTGAGAATTCCATATGATGTTGACGATCCTCTCAGGTACACCTCAGTGTCAAAGAAGCCTACATAGTGTTGTCTTACCCATGCTATCAAATGCTTTCTCGTAGTCAATGAAGTTCATGTGTGTCGATGAATTTCATTTAACTGATTGTTCCGAAGCGATCCGTAGTGTCATGTTTTAGTCGATACAAGATCTATCCTTAAGAAATCTAGTCTGCTGATCTCGAAGTTGGTCGTCTACTGAATATTTCATTCTGTTTAGCATACTCTGTTGAAGACTTTTCCTGGTATTGGTAATATAGTGATTTCTTTGTAGTTCTCACACTTACTGAGATCTTTCTTTTTTATGTTGATGAGGTATCGTTCTTTTCAGTCTACTGGTACTTGCTTTACAATTCTTTTGTAATATAAAATTATTAAAAATTTTTTAGACTAATCAATAAAATATGTAGCGAAGTGATTCGTTTTTATTAAGTTTTGTTAAATTTATATCCTCATAAATGAAGCACTTAAATTCTTGGAATTTATGGTCTGTTGAATTTATTACACCAACTATTTTTCTTAGTTTATCCCAATATACATGATCTCATATTCTAATGTACAACAAAATCCTATTTAAATTTCCATTATATCATCTATGTATATGATTAATGAATCGGCCTAGTTTTTCTCAAATCACAAACAATTACTACTTACCGATTATATTAAATACTTCATTCATTTAAAACACTCACTATTCGAATTCATTTACATATTAATAAATGTTAAGAGACTAGATATTTGAGTTCATTGAATGCTTTGTAATAACCAGTGATTATTTGATAACTGTTGTGTATATTCACACCCTTACATACTCCATGAAGTATTTTACCATATAATTCGTTCTCATAGTACAATTATTTGAAATAAATAGAAATCAGTGGGATTTTTTTCATGCGGAATGTCGTATTTTTGCAATTTTGTATTCTCAGAGTTGGAATATCTTATTATTGAGCTTTCATTGACATTTTCAGAGCCTAATTCATATGGAATATTGCTATATCTCTGTATCAAAACAATAACAATACAGATTATAATAATAATTATAATTATTATTATTATTATTATTATTATTAGTAGTAGTAGTAGTAGTAGTAGTAGTAGTAGTGGTAGTAGGAGTAGTAGTAGTAGTAGTAGTAGTAGTAGTAGTAGTAGTAATAGTAGTAGTAGTAGTAGTAGTAGTAGTAGTAGTAGTAGTAGTAGTAGTAGTAGTAGTAGTAGTAGTAGTATCAAAATCATCGGTATACATGATTATAACAAATTTAACCGGTTATTTTAAGACAAGTTCTATCTTTGCTGTTTACACTACTATTGCTATACACCCAATAAATCATGTCATTTTTGTAACTCAGATAACAAAATCCATATTGTAAATTGATTGCTTGTTTCAAGTTATATTCCTTAATCTATTTTTTGTTTTACTCTTACTGTAGAAATGTAAGAAAAAAACAGCTAAAACAACAAAACAGTAACTTATATTCATTACTTTGGAAGGCTTTAACCAATACGTTAGTGTGCACTTTCATTCGACTCTTATGAAGGGTAAGATACGTCGTTTAATCCTACTGCATTCGCCATTAAGCATTAAATGATCCTCTATGTATTCGGAAATGAACATTGTTCCTATTTCCTAAAGTGATTTACAATCATTCTCCAACTATTATTCTGTGATAAAATTTACTGAATATCTGTTAATTTTAATAATCAATAATCGTTGAGCTACTATTATAATTTAGAAAATATCAATAACAAGCTATCAGTACTAGATGGTCACGTGTACAAAATTTACAACAAGCTAAACAGTGCACATAACAATCAATCAAAAATTGCAATTCTAAAAAAATTCAAATTACTTTAAACTATCTTATTTACATCATACAACCCGATTGTATTTCTAAGCCTCTTCAAGGATTTTTATAAACCTTAATTTTAGGTCCATTGACTTCTAATATATCTAATATTAACCGTTCACATTCTCTTCTTCCTAATCAAGTTAAACAGTATCATTAAGTTAGATCTGTTCACATAACAGAACTAACACAGTTCATTGTTAATTTCATTCAGTTCTTTTAATCCACTAGTAGACATATTAAATAAATGATTATGAGATGGTCAATCTTGAATAATTTGGTAGGAATTAATGACATAAAAGAATGATTTACTGATCATCAGTAAAAATCTTCATTGTATTAGACATAAATCGGAAACACTTTCCCACTTTGTCAGTTTACAACAACTATTAACCATGACTTAAATTTTTCGAAAAGCTTGTAACTATGATTGAAATAAAATCAACTTCCAAGAATTATCGATCATTGAATGCCTTGAAATGTTTATTCGAATTGGCTATCGAGATTTTTTCTCTCAATCGATACTAATATGCAACTCATCACGAATACTCCGTACTAATAACTGATGATTGTATTAGCTACATTTCATTTTCTTATCTCATTTCTCATGATTCATGTCATACTTCCAAATTATAATACGATAATAGCAATCCTAAACTCTAAAAAGTTATTTTTTATGATATAATCATATTTGTTTATTAACCTGATAATCATGAACTTTATACTTCCAAACTTTACATGACTTTGATTGTCTTGGCTTATTTTGTAGATATTTATTCTATTTCACTACAACTTATGAATAATTTTCTTTCATATTTAGTCTCTTTAATTTTTACGAAAAGCATATTATTAAAACAAATAATTCGATTTCATCTGCATGTATTTCACAATCTTATTACAATTCATCCAAAATGTATCAATGCCACTTAGTGACTTTTCTTCTGCACACCTGATAATGTGTAATGTTTGAATTAAGGGTAAAGTTCATGTCACGTTACGTGACATCTTAAATTAAGCGCATTTTGATGGCCTGTATAAAGTTAAAGAATAAAGAATTATAATTATATACTGACTCAGCATGATATTTTAACTAGAATACTGAATATAGAACATCAAATAATCTTATTGTTTTATAAAAAGAAAGAAAAATAAATAAATATAAATCAATAATTAACTATAAATTTGTTCTTATTCAGTAGTTAAATATTTTCAAAGTGATTGTTGATTGAAAGTATTAGAGAACAAAAAAGAAGAACTCATTCCAATCTTTCTGTGAAAATCAATAATTTATTAAGTAGAGAAGTTGTAACTTTCGTTTTAATACTTACACAGTAGTTGTAAATAAATTATGACTTCTATCATCTACATGAATAACTGAGATGTTTAACAGTTGAAGGTAGTTGATAGGATACCTTGCTTGGTCTAGATTTCATGTTAGTTGGCACTTGATAGAAGAGTGTACTTGTAATTTTTAGGAAAATGATTCTTTCTAATGAATTTAAACTCTTATCGACCAGCTTCATAGTCTGAGACGTTACCACTAGGCTATTCCAGTTTCAACTAATATCCTGTAGGACTGAGATACATTTACAGTTGATTGATTATTGAATAGTAACCATTGTTTATCTGATTCTTTAGTATTGGTTAAGTTGAATGTGATTCTACCGCTAACCCTGCTCCTCCTTCACAGTCTACAAATAAAAATTATATCATGTTCTTATCGTATTTTATGGATTTCACAGTAAATGCTGAGAACAGTATTAGAATCGAAATACTACATAATATCAAATCATTAAAAATGTTAATCGCTCTAAACAAATAGTATAAAAGGTGGTTTATATACGTATTATCTAGAACTGGGAAGTATATTACACCTGAGTAATCTTTGCCAAGAGATTTCGTTTTTTCGTCTACTACATAATAACAACACTTTAATTCTTCTTAATCTTACAATTCAAGAGAAGGGAAAACAGTTCTTCATAAGTGAGTATTTCTATCTTTAGGTAAAGTCAAAAATGTGATACAATAATTTTGTTTATAATATAATGAATATAACCTTGAGAACATATAAGAAAATATCTAATTCAATAAGATAGTGATCAATCCACATGGTAATTATGAAATATCGGTAATCGTTGAATTGCTCGTTAGTCAAAATCACTAGTTATTAAAAAAAGACAAATAAACTGACGCTATTCTGCTAAACTAGAAAATAGATTAGATAAAATTTGCAATATTTATAGGAATTTAAAATAGGATTTAAATGGTTGAGTAAATATTCAAATCAGTTTATGAGGATTTTATTTACTTAACAAATTTTCATTACTTGATTTAAAACTATGTTTAAGAAATTCCTTTCAATAACTTGTCAATAGAATCCTCACTGTTCTTATTTATCTCTTAGTATTTTACTTTTTGAAAAAGTTTACTATATTACTTACTTACTTATTTACGCCTGCCACTCCCAATGGAGCATAGGCCGCCCACCAGTGTTCTCCAACTAACTCTGTCCTAGGCTTCACTTTCCACTTCTGTCCAATTTTTGTTCATTCTTCTCATGTCTTTCTCTATTTCTCGGCGTAATGTGTTCCTTGGTCTCACCCTTCTCCTTTTACCTTGAGGGTTCCATGTAAGGGCTTGTCTTGTGACGTAGTTGGGTGCTTTTCGCATTGTTTGTCCTATCCACTTCCAGCGCTTCTTCATGATTCCCTCCTCTACCGGAATGTGGGTTTTTTTCTCCCACAGTAGGTTGTTGCTGATGGTGTTTGGCCAACGAATCAGAAGTATTTTACGTAGACAGTTTACTATAACTTGCACTTTTTATCTTTAATAAACAGTCTTATACAATGTACACAATGTATACAATGTACTCTGAATGAAAAACATCGAAATAAATTTGTTCTGAACAGTTTGTTTTAAGTTATTTTTGCAAATCTAATAACTTTATATTTAAAACATCAAACTTAAATCATGAAACTCTATATTGATTCATACATAAATATAACTGATTCATTCTCAAGTAAGTTTGGTGTTCATTTCATAACTAAACAACTGCTAATACATTGTTATCACAGAAAGGTAGATAAAAACCAATCTACTTATTACACAGTCACTTATTAAATTATGTTCTGTATCACAGTTCTATTTAGTCATTACTGTTGGTTGAATAATCACCACGTAGTGAAAGGATATCAACAACTGTTCTTTACTAAAATGAAATATTTAAATCTTTCATGTTCAACTGTAAGAGTTGTAAATTATGATCTCAAGATTGTATTTTGCAAAATCTCTAGGATTATTTTATAAAACACATACTAATATTTAATTAATTCGGATATGTAACATCACTACATGATTTGATGAATGAATTTTTTAAAACCAGACGTTTTATGATGAATCCATAACAGAAACACTTGTCTTTATTTGTACAGTCAGAAAGTATTCACAACTCTCATATACACAATGTATGTCAGTCATTTGTGACCTTTCATATGTATGTCCGCCTGTTTTTGTTTATTTTCAAGGTCAACCAAGTTGAACTCTGAATTTGTGAATAATTTGACATATGGTGTGTTTTTAATTAAATGATACTCCGACAATTTTGAAGTATATAATACAATATTGAAGACTAAATACAGAACATTAAAAAAATGTCAGAATAAGAACTTATTTGTTAAAATATCAAATCTTTACTGATATTTATCATTTACTTACATCATACGTTCTCTTTATTATGTGAGTATGTATGAATCAAATTTTTCTGAAAATTTATTATTTTATCTTTTCAAACCAAATAAACTTCATGAATATGCCAGTTTTTTTAATAGCTTTCTCCAGTTTATTGCATATTCTTAAACATCTATTTAAAACTTCTTAATGATACAGATATTTCCGCAGAAATCTATCAACATTGTTGTTCTTTATTTTACAACCTACTAACCACAAAATTAAAAACTAATTAAACTTTAATATTAATTAAGATTTATGTGTATAATTCCAGTATTCTAATATTAAACGTAAAGAGTAAACAAGAGGGTTAAATATCATAATGGTTAGCATTCATTAGAAAGGTGTATTTATTCATAATAGAGCTATGGAGATTGTTGCTTTTGATCGAAACCATGATCTACTGACCATTGTTAGACCACATTTAGAAATCTGGAAGCAATGCATGGCCGTTTCGTCCTAAATACTAGACTCTTCTGAAGTGCCCATCCACAACACCCGCTCGCGGGAATCTAACCCAGGACCTTTAATCTATCACGCAAACGCTTAATCTCTAGATTACTGAGTCAGCATCCAACGGTGTTAATATCTAACTGTGATCAATCTACTTCTCACAATCTCACTTATTGTTTTCGATTGTTACTGCCTAAACCCGATAGGGTTGAACTCTACC